GTTTCAATATTTCTTTTTTATGTCCCTACCTAGCATTCCTGCAGTCTGAAGTTCTGGACTGTCTAATCCTCCTGCTCCTTAGCTCACTCTCAGTGTTGGGGTCTGTGTCATTGCTTTTCATATGTCTGTCTGGTGAGCTGGTCCTCAGTAGAGATTGCATAGCCAGGATGGACAATGCATCCTTCCATAGACGGTTTTCACTTGCTTTTCTGCAGAAGCATCGCCTACTGTGGTCATTTTTGTTATCACTTGCAAGTTCCTGTGTAATGCAGGTAATGTGAATTTGTGATCTAAACCTCCCTGAGCAAAGGTCCTTGTCTTTGAACACTCAGGAGTTTTTGGTTTTGATGCAGAAGAAGGCTAAAACTGAGAATCCAATTTCTCATTGCCTTGTGCTGGTCAGCTAATTTTTTCCCCTAGGTCAAACCTTTTACTGTGTTTATAGCTTAGGAAGGGTCAGCTTTCTGGGAGTTTTCAGTTCCAGCTCCCTTCCTTGCCTACATTCAAGGCTTTGTTCTTACGTCTGTGGCTCCTAAAACTCAAGTGCCTTGGCAACAAACACAAGGAACCTAGCATGACATCAGTTCACAGATCTGATGTGTTGGTCACCAATTTTGGTCAGTGGAAATTGTCTTTACTTTTTTTATATACTTAGCTATATATTTAAAAAAGCATTTGCTGTATTTTAGATTTTCTAGGTAAGGTAGGATTTTCAGATTCTCTGATTTACTATATTGCTGGAAATAAAATAATATTTCAATATTTTTAAGGAACTCATTTTTACTTATGTGATTAAAAATTACTAAAATATACTAAATACATATCAGAGAAACACAAACAGTACTTCTCTATATGTAATTTACAGACAATTACAGACAAGGCCACATGGCTACCTTTCCTGACCTTGACTAGTGTTCCCAAAGTTTACTCTATACCTTAATCTGCATATCTGTACATCTAGTGACTGCTTTACCTACCTCGATCCCTCACCAGGACCATGTCAGGCCAACTGCTCACATAGCAACACTGGAAATAAAATATGCCATTGGGGAGAGCCTACACCAACACTGCCAGGGTGGTCAAGAAAACTGCCGCAGATGTTTTGATTTTAACTTCTTTGGTTAAATTATAACACACTGAACAAGATACCAAACACTATAATATGCTGCATGTGAAAGTTGGTACAGCGATATAAAAATAGTCCATTATTAAAAGATCAGTTTTAAAAATCCAGTGATATCAGAAAGAAAAAAAAACAACTTTTAGTCAAATCCATTATACCTTCATAATATATTCACTATCTCAGCAAATGCAATTTCTAACACAAACCCATTTAGAAATAATGCAGTTAAAATAGCTTTACTATCATTGTTTTTGAAACTTTCTACATAGTTTCAAACTAATGTAAGTTTTCTTAAAATAGGTATAATTGTTTTCATGATGCTGTTGAAGGAAGTAGTAACTGGGCATTAAGAAAGGCTGCATAATATAATGATTAATAGCATGGCTCCTGGTGCCAGACTACCTGGGTTCAAAACAGCTCCTCACCACCTGTGACCGTGGTGGGTTCACTTAACTCTCTTTGTGCCTCTCTTCCCTCATTGGCAGATTACAAATAATAATAATAATAATAATACCCACTGCATAGGGTTGTTACGAGGATTAAATTAACTTTTATTTAGAGATATAGAGTCTCACACTGCATAGTGAGTTTTCGGTCAATGACGGACTGCATATAGAATGGCAGTGTACATAGCGGGGGTGTGTAGTAGGCTGTGCAATATTAAGTTTGTGTAAGTGTACTCTGCAATGTGCCTACCATGATGAAATCTCCCAACCATGCATTTCTCAGGACATATCTCGGTCACTGCCATGCAGGACTGTACATGGTACATATTCAACACCATGTGTCTGTTCCATAAATAATTAGCAACATTTTAAAAAGCATAATAACCAGGATTTCATGAATCAAAGGTCATGGATTTCATTCTCCCAGGCACAGAACCTGTGTTTCCCAGTCTCAACCATCTTTAGGTAAGTTAAGTATGTAAGAACTGGGCCAATGTTGTCATGTTGGTCCAAAATTTGCAACTAATGCATTACATTTGAACTTCTCTACAAGAAAGATTTTATCCTAAAAGAGAAATCAACTTCTAAAATGGCCAGAGAGAAAGAGAAAATAATTTAAGTAACACCACAGAAATGTTGTTAAGTGTCATTTACAGATGAACTTAAGTGATGATATAATTCATATTGGTATAATCCAAATAAACAATGATACGATAAGAAGAAAACATTCCATTCATAAATTGGGTTAAAAATCCTAGAAATAGCAGTGAGATGAAAGCCTATGTTTCCTAATAATCATAAATACATCTTCAAATTTAAATTCTATATTTTAGTCAAAGCAGTTTCTAAAACCATTTTTTTTTCATATGAGAAGGCAAGCAGAACAACACCTACATGAAAATGCAACCATGTAGGTCACAGATCAGTGATCCAGTGCTTCAAAATTAATGTCAGATCTTTCTTTCATCAACTAAAAACAAATCCAAACTTATATAAGGAGAAACTTCATTCAAAAAGTCTATTACAATAGAGAAAATGTTCCAAACTTTGGATCTACAAGCATCTGAAAATCAAACAGAAATAGGTCTTTTAGGGCCGGCCGAGTGGCGCGATGGTTAAGAATTCGCTTGGGATGCCAGAGGGCCCCGGTTCGGATCCCACATATGAGGGCCAGTGACACTGCCCTCTGCAGCTAAGATGCTGAACAACAGCTCA